GAATTTGAATATTTTTCCAGGTGTCATTGTAGCGCTAGACCTATGATTTGCTTTTAAAATAACAGTTTGAGGTGAGTATGGTGGTGCACACCTGTAATCCCAGCAGTCTGGGAAGCTCAGACAGCAGAATTGCAAGTCTGAGCTCAACCTGGGTTATTTAGTGGACTTAGTGAGAACTTGTCTCAAAATTAAAGGAAAAATAAAAAGGACTGGGGATGTAGCTCTCAGAGAAGTGCCTGGGTTCAGTCCTCGGTACCCTGCTCCCCACCTCCACAATCGACTTGGCCAGAAGTATGCGTGATGGCTATGTAAACCCACTTTGACCTGAGTGAAACTCACTGGCCACAAATGTGCCCTAACCAGGGACTGTGGAGACAGTCAGTGATCTGAAGAGCCTAATCAAGAATTTACATCAGAGCGGAGTCTGTACTCCATGAATGTCCCAAACACTGCTCTCTAAGTGCATATCCAGGGTGGGGACGCTGTTAAACACAGCACAGGAGGGGCACAAACCTCTGTCCTCTGTAGGAAGACAGTGAGTGGCACTTCTCCTCACAGTCCAAGACTCCATGGTTACCAGAAGGTGGTGGCAGTCATCATGGTCCAAATGGGCTCTGGTGTCTTCACTACAAGCATGAAATGGGCTCATGGCACACAGCGGGCCAGTGTGTGTGGCAGACACAAAGGGTGCGATGTGCCACGGTTAAAGCCAACAGGCAGATCACATGTAGAATGCTACTTGACCGTTGTGTTTGCCCCTGTGGGATTTGGAGCACCTGGGGGGAGCTGACAAGTGTCCCTTTCCCTTTCCTTGTGGGGACAGGCTTCCTGTGGGAGGCAGGCTTGCTCAAGGTAGTTGCAAGTCTCTGTAGATGCTTTCCCCAACTCCTTTGCTTCTGTGAATACTTGAAATTATAAGGCATAAAATATCAGTAATTAGAATTTATCTACCTGACGTTTCATTGGATTAGAAATCCATGAAGTCACTAGTGCTGACTCCAGAAGGTGCTTTGAAGCTGGTTGTTGTAATCTGGGAGACTGAGACAGGAGGATTACAAGTTTATGCCCTGCCTGGGCAACTTAGGAACTTAGTAAGACCTTGAGACAAGCCTGTTTCAAATAGATATAAATAGGCTCAAGGATGTCGTTCATTGTGAAGGTCTTGGGTTCTACTTCCAGCACTGGGGAGGAAAAGAGGCTTTGAGAAACTGTTTAAAGACAGCAGAGAAGACCTGAACCTGGCTGGCTTCCAGGGATAAATCTTTGTATGTTGGCAGCAGAGGGCAAGGACCTCAGTGCTTGGACTCAGTCCTGAGAGAGAGAGGTGGTGGTTTGCTCACGGGATGGAGATAATTGCTCAGAGGCTCCCGGGCAGATGAACACAGGTCAGGGGCATCACGGGGCCTGGATGGTCACAGGCTGTGGACCCAGGAGAAGATGGGACTTGGGAATGGCAGGCAAGGCCACGGGAAGTGGGGAGAGGGCCAGTGAGACAAGAGGAGGTCAGTGGAGGCAGCGGGGTGGGGTGGGGTCAGTGAGCCCTGTGGTCACAGGGCCTCCCTCTGGATGCCCTGAGAGGATGTCCCCGGACCAAGGCGGAGTGGGAGTGAAGCAGGGGGAGCTGGGGAGAAGCAGTGCAGAATGTGCTTCTCATCCCCCACTGAGGCTGCTCAGCTTGTCAACCAGGTCTTCTGGGTTGACCCCAGGTGCGAAGTGGCTGTGAGTTTTGAACTAAAGTTAAAATTCAGCACTGGAATCTGCACTAGTCATTTTCCTCTCACTGGGACAAAAGACCTGATGTCCGCACGTGGAGGAGAAGAAGTTTGTAGAAGACTGATGGATGGGGATGGCGGAGGACACCAGCTTACCCCATGGATCCAGTAAGCAGAGAGAAGGGAGGAGCTGGGATCAGCACTATGCCCTTCTGGGTCACACCTCAGTGACTGCCTCCAATTGGGTCCGACCTCCCGTAGCACATTCAGCCGTGAGATCATCCACAAGGAATCTTTTATTTTATTTATTTATTTATTTATTTATTTATTTATTTTTTTAATTTAAGAGGAAAAAGAGAAAAACACAAAACAAACCAAAGCGGCGTAAGGGTACACGCAATACAGACCTACAAAACAAAACAAAACAAAACAAAACAAAACAAAACAAAAAACCATAACAGTAAGAAATTACCTGCTAGTAGATTACACACTATTTTCTTGAAAATAGTTCCTCAAATCACAGTATCAAAGAACACAAGGTGGACATTCAAACAGGGAGACTGCAAACAGCTGTGTTCAATGTTTTAGATCCAAGCCATAATGAATGTCATCCTTGCCAAACCAGACTATAAGCAAATGACAGAAATGCCCTTCAGGGCATTTTCTCAAATTTGTCCTTCCAGTTGGATGGTTCCATGCTCTATTTTGTAAGCAACTTCTCAAGTTCACTGACAGCCCCACCCCTACCTCCCTTTCAGATGAGTTGAAGCCTTCTACAGAGGCAGGAAGAGAGGTTGCTCGCAGTGACCTCAGCCCATCTAACTTTGCACAGGCCTGGCCATTCCATGACAGTGATTTGGGCCTGAATAACCTTTATTTGTGCTGGGAGTTGAACCCAGAGCCTTGTACCGAGTTACAACCCCAGCCCTTTCTTAGCTTTCATTTTGAGACAGTGCCTTGCTAAGTCATTCAAGTTGTCTGGCTGTGATCCTCTGCCTCAGCCTCCCAGAGTGCTGGGATCACAGGTGTGCGTCATCACACCCGGCTTTGGACCATATCTGTGCTGCTTGCAAGTGGAGGCCTCCTTGTTCAGGGGAAACATTTAGTGACTTAAAGTCTCATTATGAGAAAACTAGGGGTCAGAAATTCTATGCAGCACTTCCATATCTCATGTGAAGGATGATAAGGATGGAAACAAGCTGACAGTACTTCATACACAAAGGCAGCAACTAGAAAATATACCAGCCCTGTAACCATGGCAACAAAGGGCCTTTCAGAAAAATTTGGAGCATCACGATTGATGCTTTGCCTATATAGTTACTTTCTTGTGAAATTATTATCAAGCCTTGCACAAAAGAGCAAATTCTTTGTAGAATCCTCTTTCCAGAGTTTCAAAATGCTTGAGGTGCATTTTACATTTATGGATAACCAACTTTAAAAAGACTTATAGCAGTCATAAGATACCCTCGTGCTATCTTTATTTTTATATTAAAGTCAAAATTCTATAGAATTCCATGATATTTGTCCAGAAGAGGATAGATATGCAGTTTGCTCATTAAAACCCCTCTCCAGTCACCCTGAACCACGAACTCTTTTTGGACGTCGATGGTGCTAAGCTCACATCGGCCTGGAGCCTATGATTTGCCATGTGTCAACTGCCCAGAGAACCGCAGGAGCATTTCCCATGCTGGACGTGGGTTTCTCAGCCCCAGGGATGGAGACGTTTGCAGCTCCCGTGTTCCTACCTCTTCTCCACTACTCTGTCACACTCAGTTTTTTTCTGAGATCCTTTTTGGGAAGCAAAGCAAATCAATATTGCATTTTGCTGGGGAGTTTCTGACAGAGGCAGGAGCTGTTTGGCATGTGTGGCCTCAGCTTCTTCTCCACTGTTGTCGCTAAACAATCAGGTGACTGCAAATGCTTTCAGACCATGTTTCTCCCCAGTTACTGCCCAGCCGTCCCTTTAAAGGTAGAGTCTAGGATAAACCTGTTAAGATACCTCGTAGGAAAAAGCAAAAACTTTCCCATTACTAAAAGAGGAAGCAAGATTCTCCAGGGCTCTCGGGCTTCTAACTGCAGAAATCTAAGCATCAGTACATGGAACCTTCCTGGGAACGACACTAAGCAGATTAAGCTCCCACATCACTGAGATTGATTTAAAATATCTGGGGCCCTGTTATCATAGCTACACAATTTCTTGTAATGTAAATGGTTTGAAGAAAAAAAAATCCCTTTCAGTGGATTTGCTAAAGCAAAAGCTTAATGTGAATGGCAAAGCGATGAGGTTTTTTTTTTTTTTTTATTTCATTAAGCAGATGCTGAAAATGATGTTTTCGATCTCCTGGCTGTGGATTTTTAAAGATCAGCCACAGAGCAAGTTGAGACTCCACCGCCAGACTCAAGCCGTTTCCTGTGGCCCTGGGGGTGCTTAACAGGTACAATCTCTGCAAAAGTCTCAACACACAGATTCCACATGGAGTGGGGTGGCAGCCTGTGAAATGCTGCCCACCGACACCCTGCCTTTTGGTTTTATAAACGGCTCTCCTTCCCTTACAGTAAAAATAACAGTGACAAAAGGTTACCGAAATAGTAACCACATTTATTATGATTACAATAGTTTATTATTATTATTATTATTATAAGGAACAATAACTGTAATGCGCACGAACAGGCCATTTTTCCCATTATGTATGAAACACGCTCTGCTTGCAATTTCACCTAAATCCCTAGGGTACGGAGTGCCCAGTGCGTGAGTCCCACCCTCAGATGAGCAGGCTGAGCTCCTGGGGGGAGCCCAACTGGGCTGGCTCACCTGTCTGGGTTCCTGTGGCCCCATGGTCTTTCTGTAACCATGTAGCACCCTGCCCGCAGAAGGTTCCCTTTACCATTCAGCCCCATGGATGTGGGACAAAGCAGCTGATCATGCATTTCAGATGTCAGGTACGCACAGAACCCAGCGTGCCAATTGTTCCCCGAAATAAAGCTTTTTTTTTTTTTTTTTTTTTTCCAAGGACAGCATTCACTCGACTCCAGGGTCTTTACTCCACTGGCTACTTCCTGCCTTCAGAGAACTGAGGGGCTGAGTGATGTCCCCCTCACCTGCCACCTGTGAGCCCCCTATGGAGGTCCCCTGAAGCTCTGATAGAGTTTTCTCATCTTGGCCAAACCTCAAGAAACTGCGGGTTAGTCTATAGTTAAAATCAAAGAAGTCCAAGCCCCAGTCTGGTGACAGTCGCACCTGTGGGACGGGGGCACACCTCTGGGGCCCTGAGCTGCCATGAGCCTTACCTTCATACAGCCAGTCACTGAGGCCATTGTAAATGACACCCTCCTTCCCCGTGGAGACCACGCGGATGGCCTGCTTTCCCACGTGGGCACAGTAGTAGATGTTATTCTCAAAGATGAATATCTAGTTTGGAGAGAAGAAAAAAATTAGCATTTACAGAGGAAGTAAGTACAAATTAGGTGTTCTTAAAAAATCTGAGCTCATCAGGAGGTTTTCATCCTCCTGTTGCGATTATCTAAGAGAAGGCAGTGGTCCCAGGGTCACTGCCGGTCACCCACCTGCCGCGTTCCCTATATGTAGGATTACTTAGTGGATTTCCTGGAGTTTGCCCAAGCTGTCATCTTCCAGGACTGAGCATTTCATGGTTGCATGCTCTTGGGAACCTAACCTCAGATAGGACTGGATATTTTGACAAACGTGGTTTCTCCTAGCGATTGAGATTGGTGGGCTGGGAATGCAGAGGCTGGGCTCTGGTGACTTGGCGTTGAGGACAAATCTCAGTCCAAGTCTGTGGCAGCCACACAACCGGGGGAAAGGTGGAGATGGTCACGGGTTGAATGATGCTAACCATCTGGTAAGAGGAGGCCAGACTTTAAACACGCTGTGGCCTTTTCTGAAAGTGCTGGAAAACAGGTTTCCTGACTGTTTTGGTCACATGGAAGTGCACAGCCCTAAGGCACTGAGCTTGTTTGTGCTGTGACAAAACCACCCTACTCCCTCCAGAACTTTCCATCGTCCTGAACTGAAGCTCTGCTCCATTACACATGGACTCCCCACCCCCTCCCAGCCCCTGACACCTGCCTCCTGTCCCTGTGTGTCATCTGTCTATTCTGGATCTCCTTTCTCCGGGGTCCTTACTGGTGGTGACTGCCACTCCCAAGGGCCATCCAGTGGGAAACAGGTTGGCAAAAACACGAGGCTGGGTCCTCATCCGCCTGATTCTTCAGGTCTGGCAACGTGTGACTTCTGATTTTTCCCCAACGTCAAAATTATCATGAAGGGGAAGTGTTTTGAATTGATTCAGAACATTGAGGCAGTTAGGACGGCACAGCTAAAGATTCAAAGAGGACTCTCAGAGCTGTTGCAGAAAGTGGCAAAAATGATGGGGCAGTGTGCTTGAAAAGCAGGGAGAACATTTTGAGGGGAATTTGTGGTAATTCTTTTCCTGTACTAAATTATTTTTAAAATTTAAACATTCACCGCAGTTTTCAACTGCATCTCCTATGTGTTTGGATGCTCTCATGTTGTGATTGAACCCATGCTCTCTCTCTGAAGCCCCGTCAGCCATCCCCCATCTTTTCTGTCTGTACCTGATACGTCCTTTTAGTGGTTCAGACAAGGCTCTGCAAACATCCATTGTCAGTGGAAATTGAATCATATGCATCAAGAATAGGAATCTGTTTTAGTTTTTTAAAGGAATTCCAGGAAAAATATTGTTAGTGTTATTGAAAAGACTATGGAGAGAAGGTATTTTGTGCAGTACAGAAAATGGCACAAATATTGAATGTTTTCTCCTGGAAACAGTAAAAGGCAGTTTCCTCAGATTGTTCTCACAGAAGGATGATCCTGAAAGCCCTATCAATTATTAGTTTTTTGTTCAGGCTTCCTGGCTTCCAGGACCCAGTATATCTCCTCATTTAATTTCTTATTTGGTTCTTATGTGTTTGCCTAAGGGTATGATGTATGCCTGTGTTTTAGCTTCTTTTATGTGTTCTAAGCCTGAAAAGGATTTTTGAATCAAAGAAGGCTGTAGCCAATTAATATTTCAAGTAAGTAAAATCTGCGGTGATAGATATTAAACCCTTTTCTGCCTTGGCTTTGTTTTTGATGGCAGGGAAAGGAAAGAACATGCCATGAAGGGAGCTCTGGGCTTTGATGACATTTCTCACTTTTCTGCCCACGTTCAGGTTGAGGGGGCACTGTAAAAGGTACTGCTGCCTGTTCCAGCAATGCTCAGCACTGGGGAGATTCTGGAGCAGTCAGAAATTGGGGTTCAGGTCAGCTTTTCACTCTACCCACAGTGTGCTCCTCCATGCACAGCTGGTGAAAGCTTCCAGCCTTGGAGCTTCTGAGGACCTGGGCTCTGCAGAGCTGGGCACCTTCCTGGGTGAGATGGTGATCTCTGGATGTCCTCATACATTCTCACTTTTCAGTCCAGTCCAGCCTGACCTTGTTGCGAAAGCCAGGAGAAGCCAGAATGAGCTCAAGCCTTGAGCTTCTGATTCATGGCATCTTGCTTTACAGGTAATGGCTCATTAATAAAGGAAATGTGTGACTTTTAACCAGAAATGCACCATGGAACGACACCACTTTGAGACACAATACTACTTCTCATGTCCCTTACATCTTCCTCACCGAGAAGGAAGGAGGTGACCCAAACAGAGGCACGAGTGTGAGGCACCATCGTGTGACTGTGAGACTCCCAGAGCCAGGTCCGCCTGTCCTCTTATTAGGTTTACTGGGGTCTGGTGGCCCATGGCCCCCTGATTGATGCTGGTCTTGAGTCCTGTGCACCTGCAGGCATCCCTCTGGCTCTGTTTCATCTGTCCATCTGCCCCCTGGAACAAGCTCAGAGTTCTGTGGCCTGGATGCAACTACTGAAGCTGAGGCCACCATTCTGGGGAGACCACACCCCATTCTGCTACCTGGCCTTTTTCTTTCCTCCAGAAGCTTCCCAAAGTTCCTGCCCAGGTTTGCCAGTGACAATCAGAGGTGTGCAAGCACAAGAAAGCAGTCACAGAGTTTGCTCAGTGTCTTCAGGGTCACTTCTGGTGACAGGGAGTGACAGGGAGTAACAGGGTCACTCCCGGTATGCTTGGGGAACCCCAGGCTTTTCCAATGTGTCAGAAGCTACTACAGGTGCTCCCTGTGTTCCCACCCAGATGCGCTGTCCCTTGGCTCTTCCTTGTCCTGGGGGCTGGCCCATTTCCTCCTTGACACTCTCCCCGTCTCCTGTCCGGACTGCTGGGTCCTTGCTGTCCATTGTCTGAGGCCCTCCCAGACACCCATGGCCCTGCACATGTCCATTCCTCAGCAATGGCTCTCACCTTGCAGGTGGCAGTGTTGGAGCGGGTGTAGGAAGCTCCAGGGGAAGGAAGGGACAGAAATGGCGGGCGACACTAGCACCCTGCCAGTCACCTCACACATTCTCATTTCTCACCCAGAATCAGAGTTATGTGATGTTAATGTAGGATCCAGTAGTTCTGTTCAGAGGTGACATGTTTACCAGACCTCGGCTAGCTGGCAGGTGGGGCAGAGGTGACTGGCAGGTAAATGGCACCCGTGGGTCCACAGCAGGTGGGGGAGCCGCCAGCTGGGTTCCCAGGTTCCCACACAGGGATCTGGCTGGTGCTCACTGGGAGAGCGGAGGATCTCCATTGTTTTGGGAGTCCTTGGTTACTTCGGGAGACTTCACGTGTCAGGGACTCTCCATGTCTCCAATTGTGAGGCACCCCTTTACACTAGCTGTTTCTCCTTTTCATAGAAACTTGTTTTTCTTTGTTTTAAATTTTTAAGTGACACGTAGTAATTTAGTGGGTTCATTTCATCTTTCCAACTGTCTGGATTTCATACTTGATGAGAGCAAGGCCATCTGTCAAGATTTTTCTGCTCTCTAACTTCTCCTCTCTGCTCCTGAGGTCACCTTATCCTTGGGTATAAGAAGCCACACTTTTGCAGCCTTAATGAAGCTGCTTCACGAGAGCTGGGCTAGGGCCTCTTCCTGGCATCCCGGTGGCCCACAGGAGTCTGTGTGGAGCTCCCATGCCCAGATAGTGTCTCATTGCTCCAGAGAAGCTGGGGTGCACCCTGACACCCCAGACAGGTTTGATCATGAGGAACAACCCCAGCAGCTCCCCGAACACTGGCCGTGGGCAGCCCTGGCCTTCAGCTCAGAAAAGCAAGAGAGAGGTGGGGACAAGACATGCTGTACCTAAGACACAACTCCGAAAGGATTGGGGAAGGGGACTGTCTGGCATTTTGGGGCAATGGATGGGATGCACACCTAGGAAGTCCCGAGACATCAAAATGGAGGAGGTGACTCTTCAGAGGGGAATGGAACACTCTAGGATGGCTCAAAGACAGAGAGAGATTGAAAAGCACAGGAAGTCCCCTGTGCATAAGAGGACACCAGTGCCATGCAGAAGTGACTGAATACAGCAGCAGATGGGCAGGAGAGGGAGGGGAAATATGACAGCAAGATGCTAATTTAAATTTAAAGTTTCACTCAATCATAGTGGTGTGAAGTGAATAAAGGTGCACAGAACATTAGGCTACCTTTAAAATCAACTTGGGCCATTTTGGAAAAATAATATACTTTTTTCACAGGGTAAATTTTACATCTTGAGCCATCCAACCTTTCCTCCAACTTGTGCACCTTCTTGGCACCACTGTGTTGATATTGAAGCTGCTTGGCGACCTGGTTCTTTCCTGTTCTTAGGGTTCCAGTGGGATGCATAGGAGGGTGATGAGCTGTGCTTTCAGGACCCAACCTGAAGACCTCCGTAAGGGAAGAGGTGGAGAGAGGGCAGAAGCAGCAGCAGAGGCATGAGAATGGGAAACAGGCTGAGCTTAGGATCCACAGCTGCAGACTGTGGGACAGTGCATGTGTGCCAGGTAGAGCAGGGATGGACCAGGGAGGGGCCCTCTTGAGGTGGACAGCACGGATGTGGTGTGCCTTTGAGACACAGGGCTGAGGGAGGAGGCCACCCTTGCAGCTGGAGGTGGGGAGGTACCAGAAATGGGGAAAATACACACTAAATCCATGAAACAAGGTACATTTGGAACAATGTATTTAGGGTGTGTGGCAGGAAAGAATAGAATAAACAAAGTGTGTCAGCACTTAGGTGGCTGGGAGTGGGTTCGTTAGGAATAAAGTGGGAAATGCCTTCAACTACTTCCCCAGCCCTTTTCAAAAAGAAATCACTTCCTGGGTTCTCACTGATGGCTGAATTGACTTAGGCTTGCAGTTCTCCTGCCTCAGCTTCCCAGAGTGCTGGGATTACAGGTGTGTCCGCTCAGCCACAGAGCTGGAGATAGGCAGGATGTGAGATGCCTCTGCGGCACTTCAGGTGGAGGCATCTGTGTTTAGAGGTGGCCCAGGGATACAGCTTCAGATCCTCTAT